TTTAGGGGAAATGTTGGGTTCATGTTGGGTTTTGGGTTTAGGGGAAATGTTAGGTTTATGTTGGGTTTAGGGATTAGGGTTTAGGGTTTAGGGTTTAGGGTTTAGAGTTTAGGGTTTAGGGTTTGGGGTTAGTTTGAGGTGAAATGGGAGTTTCCGACAATAGGGGTACCTCATCTTGGGGTCCTGGATCCTAGTATCTAGGGTACTACGGTCGATGATATAAATCCTGCATTGCTCAAAATAGGGAATGTACCATAATTCCCGTAGTTTAGGGTCCTTAAGGTAATGCAGGATTTGTATCATCAACAGTATATTGGGGTCCCCTGTTTTCGAAAAGCCCCTGATAAGCTTAGTGTTGTACAAACCTCCCAAACCCTTGGATAGTTATTCAAACTTCTGTAGTGCACTGCGGTCCATTTCAAGAGCCACTATGGTACCCTTGCGATTAAGACTGCTCTACCAGAACGATGCCTGCCCGGGTCTTGAGTATGAAGATGGAACCTACTTTCTTGTAGGGTCCCTCTAAACCCTAAACCCTGAACCCTAAACCCTCTTTAGAAGAAGAACTTACAACACAACTAGGGAATGGCCGGCTGAGGGCTTGCTTATGTCCACTTCAGGGTCTCTGGGTTGAGGGCTTTGGGTGTTGGGGTGAGATATAGGGGCTTCGATAATTGCCTGCATTACTTTGGGGGTTCCTTGATATAATTATACTACAATAAGGGGCCCCAAACCCCTATTCTTTTTACTAAGGCCCTTATATTAGGGTGTACCGTACTGAGCTGAGGAATTGGGGCGGGAATCCTGTTGCGTCAGGTTGGGCATTGAAGGTGTAGGGCTTAGGGTTTAGGGTTTAGGGCGTTGGAGGTGTAGGTCGAGAGCACGGAGCATGCAATCCCCGCATGGGTACGAAGGGGCCTGCTAAATTAGTAGCATGAGCACTTACAGTCTTGCACAAATCTAGTATAACAGCCACCGCCAAACAAATCTTGTTTTAATTCTCAGATCTCCAAGCCCTAAACCCGGAACCCCTAAATTTTAATCCTTAATATGAGTGCCTGTAACTGTACATCATCAGCCGAATAAGCAGAAGTCTTGTCTATACGGTAGGCAGCCCAAGGTACTCCTACGCGGAAGTGGCAGGGCCTGTGCGCGCCACCTTCTTCGTGAGCTCCTGGGCTGGGCCAAAGCCGAGGGTTCTGATTATTGTCGGTTCATCTTCGGTTGAGGGTGTGGATCCAACAACCTACTGTTTTAGGGGGTATGCCCTGTAATTAGTGATAATTAGGGGGTCATAACCTACTATTTTGTAGGGTTTGGGGATACAGATAGGGTTCAAGGTATTGGAATTGGGCTTGGGGTTGCGTTAGTCAGCGCATGTCTGAGCTTAAGCCGCGGGTTTTTGCCAGTGTCATAGTCGTACGTTAGACTGCTCTAAACCCTAAACCCTAAACCCTAAACCCTAAACCCTAAACCCTATGCCACAAGCCATGGTCGGAAGACTCCGAGTTTTATTCTTTGTCGTGATACAGCATAGACGTGGGTTCGCTGCTGAGACTTTTAGGGTCAGATGGTTATTAATATACTAATAGCAATGATATTAAGTAACTATAATAATGTGTTCAATATGATTATTGATGTACTGATAGCAGTAATATTCAGTAACTATAATAATGATTAGTTCAATACTACTATTATGGGTTTTTAGGCCGAGCATTGGAACGAGGTTTTGTCGTCCCGGGTTTCGGCACAGACTGGGGTACTTCTGGAATTGAGGTTGGACTGCTTGCAGCATCTTCACAGCCGGATTGGTATGATATAGTGGCCTAGCTAATTAACAAAACCATTTAGGAGGCCTATTATAATTCTAGTATAATATACCACAAAATCCTATTTTAAATATTAAGGCCCCTATATAACTTTACAATCATGGGGACATTATCATCCCCTCTAGAGCTGATAGTTTAAACTTCCAGGAGTTTCTCAACTCAGCAACGAGGGTATCAAAGCAACTGGAACATGTTGCATGTTAAGACCTCCGACCAGAGTGATGTAGCCTCCAAAATTTGGGCGACACCTAAACCCTACACCTATAAACCCCTAAACGCTAAACTCCTAAACTACCGTTTTTTGAGGGGTTTGGCGTGTTGGGTTGAGGATGGGTCAAGCTTGTGAGACAGAGGGGCAAGGATTTGGGCTATCACTCATTTTTCTGAAATCAGGGTTTAGGGTTCAGGGTCTAGGTGAAGAAGAGCACTGCCTCTTTGCGCTTTTCAACGACGCGCTGGTTCTGTGAACTATCGACTTTGCATTTTAACCTGCCTGTCTGATCGTGCATGTCGCCAGTTACTGAGAAAATGTTGCAAAGCTCCGAAAACATAGGTCTTCTAAGGCTTCTAAGGACTCCCTTCATGTAAGTTATGGTATAAGAACCGCCAAAACTTCATTTTAGATCTTAAGGCCCCCCATGGTATTCTGCGCTTTACGAGGACTCAACAGCGCTAAAGTCAGAAACTTTTAACATCCAGCACAGCGCGAGGAGCACTCAACCCTAAACCACTGCAAACCGCAATCCCGAAATCTTAAACCCTAAACCCTAAATCCTAAACCCTAAACCCTAAACTTCAATCCTAAATCCAAAACCCTAAACCCTTTAAGCCTGAACTCGTCAACCCCAAATCTAAACCGGCAAGCACAGGTGTGCTACTGGCCCTCAACCCTAAAATAGGCCCTAAAATTCCTGAGCCCCGGTTTAGGGTTTAGGATTTAGAGTTTAGGGTTTGAACCGAAACTGAGTCCAAAGGTCACTACTGGGGTATGCCCTTTGAGCACTCCGTCAAGAGCTTGTCGAAGCATGCTCAATTGGCAGATCAGAGAGACTTCAAGCAGACCAGCTACTGGTCGGATCCTCATTGTTTAGGGCTCTTGTTCAGAGTTCCGGGTTTATGGCTTTCTTTGAGCCCTAAACCCTAGACCCTAAACCCTAAACCTTAAACCCTAAACCCTAGACCCTCTTTTAGGGTTTGGGGTCCTACACCCGACACCGCAGCCGAAGCTCTAAACCCTGAGCCCGCGAAAGCCTCCGAGCCCTGACGCCTTTGATTGCGGATCCCGGGGTCGGCTTGAATGCGACCTTTTAGGGTTTTAGGGTTTAGG